GAGTATTTCTTTCGGCATGGAACGCATTATTGCATTTTACATTAGTTTATATGGGAAAAATTGTTTCGCTTAACATGTGTTTCACATTACGAGTAAGATTCTGGAACGAATTATGCTCGTTAAGCGAGGTTCCACTGTACATGAAATCTTTAGGCCTGGTGTTAACCAAACCTTACTATCAGATTTAAAATATACTTTTTTGAGAGGAAAACTAGAGTAAAATATTCTTAAATATATATTCAAAAAATTATTAAAGGCAGTGTTTACATTTTTCTCAACAAATATATCCTCCCATATTTCATAACTTAGTTTAATATTAAAGTCCATAATTGATAATTCATCAATTTTCCGATTATAATAGTAACAAGTATTGTATTTTTAGTAAATATATTATGTATTGTTAAACCTTGGGCATCATGATCTGAAAGCCCATCTATAATAAGGTATACCAAAACATTATTAAACTTAAAAATATTAATAAAAATTAAATCAATTGCAGAGTAAGAATTTTCCTGAATTCTGGTAGGAAATTGCACAATACTGAATAGACCATAGGAGGCTGATATCACATCTAAAGACTGTTTGTATGTGGAGTCATTAAGATAGTTAATATTAATATCTCTGCATATAATTATTTCAATGGTGTTGCTGTAAAGCATGTTTAAAATTTCATCCATCTTGTATAGGAAATATTGTAAATTTCAAGATGGAGATCTGTAAATAACAATAATACATACTTCATAAAGCAATAAGTGTAATTTAACCGCAAAAGCCTCTAGGTCTTTCTCCTTACAAAATTTTTCTAAATTTATATTCGTGTATTGAATGGATTCATGGATTAGAATACATACTCCTTTCTTAAATGTGTTTCTAAAAATTTAGCTCAAAGATTAGGTAACAGCATGCCAGATTTTGATTACATTTCAAGGGGAAAAGAAAAGCTTGTAAAAATGAATGCTAACAAGTTTAGATGCAAATTGGATAATGGTACAATTCCTGCAATCACTGGTGCAAGATCTGGGCCTTTTCTAGTGCAAAGTGCAAATCTATAGTTAAATACCTAGAAGATATCCAACTCACTGTAAAAAAAAAAAAAGGCAATCATAAATCTAGAATACAACCAAATAACAATTTGTGGTGTACCATAAGAACAGAACAGGGACTGACAGGTTTTTTGACTTAGTCCACTGTCTAGTATTTTGGAAACTGGATCTGTTTCCAAGACGCTGTGTTCTTCAGAAGGCAAGATGATTGACAAAGTCCAAAAACCCAGTAATTCCAAGCATTATACACCATCAACAGAACTCTCTTACAGTGTACTAGAACATCACAGGAATCTAAAAAAACAGATATTATCAATATCTAGAAAATAGTTTGCTGTAGATATTTTTTTTTGCTAGTGGGGTGGGACTAAGTCCCTTGTACTGTGGCCACTTCTGGCCTATTGTAGAGCCCCAGCTGATAAGTGAGGGTGATTGTGGAGCAATTGGTGGAATGAAGATTGGCAGGGGAAACCGAAGTACTCGGAGAAAACCTGCCTCAGCGCCACTTTGTCCAGCACAAATCCCACTTGACCAGAACCGGGATCGAACCCGGTCCGCCGCGATGGGAAGCCAGCGACTAACCGCTGGAGCTATGGCGCGGCCACATCTTGCTCTTAGACATATCTGAGACATGTCGCTCAGACATCTTGCAGTGGAACACTATGACATGCCTACAGAAACTTAACTGTCTGCGGAAAGAAAATGCTGCTATTCCTTCCATTCAATATGTAAATCGGAAATTAAATATGAGGGTAAATATTAACAGTTGTTGACGCAACTAATGCAATGAACCATTCACACACTCAAAATACAAAGATCCACCCACCTCCATTGTGAGATGATCCATAGTGCGACTCAAGTTCCTCGGGGGATGGAAATGCCTGCATGCATTTCGGGCACAAGAATCCCTCTGCCGCTTGCTTGTTCAATATATCTTCCCCATTACCTCGTCCTGGTGAGTTCGGCTGGGATTCCCTTCCCTAAACCAAACAATACACCTTTACCTCGACCGACAATTTAAATTAATATATGAAAAAAGTATGCAGTATTAAATATCATCCTAAACGTAGTAACTCATATCCTCACCCTGTCTGTGATTTTATTGACTATATTCTTTATGTTAAACATATCAAACTAGAACCATGCGAAATACGACCGTCTGCTATGCAATTGCGGTGCAGGACCACCAACAACGACGAATTACTTCTCCTAACAGAGTTCCGTTCGGTTATTTCGCTACCTATCCCTACAGTCACTACCGGTCACTACCGTCACTACGATCACTACCACTAACCCTACTAACGCTACTAACTGATCGTCCGTAATACCAGTACGTCCCGTAGTCTGTCATTTTACTGGCCATAGACCACAAAATTGTGAGCATTATGAGCTAGCCCAGCACATATAACAGTAGAAAGACAAAGTTCCTAGGCATACAATTTGATAACCACCAAAGCTGAGACGTCGTATAGAACGTAAGTATCCTCCTCCTGAACCATTTGATAGAACGAAATATATTCAAACACAGGCTTCAAATATATCTATTTATGAAAACTATTCGGTTGCCATTATTCTGTAGTTTTATTCGATTGCCGTTAATAGATTGGTTTCATTCTGCTTCTGTCATTCGAATGCTCTCTGTTAGTTATTCCAACAATTTCTTCGGTTTCCATCATTCGCATACCTTCAATTGAAATTTAATTCATCGGTTTCATTCGAACGGCGAACCGAATAAAATTCAAATGAAAGTCGATAAATACATTTTACAGTGACGGGCACTAGTGCATTTTGAATTGGAAAGAATGAGAAAGCGGTCGTGGTATTATTCCAGCATCTCCCTGGAAGGTCTGAAGAAAAACACAGGGCCGAAAATAACAGTCTCCGAACCGAGAATTGAATCCGGGACCTCCTGAGTATGAAGCAGGACTGCTAACCACTCGGGAAACATCATAGAAGAATGGTCTTGAATTGGATTTAACTGACTCTTGGCCGGATCCAATTCAGAGCATTGGTGAAGGCGTTGATTAACTTCTTAATCTATAACGAAAGCGTGCATCATGATCAAGTTAAAGCGTAACTTGCGTAAGACTGTACCACGAGGTTTGTTAGTTACTTGCTTGTGCTTGCTTGCGCAAGGAGGACTATGTTGTCAGCAGTGAAGTGTAGCCTGAAATGAAGTCAAATGTCATAATTAGTATTCTTCTTATATTCTTCCCTTTTAATATATTACATAACGTTAGCAGCAGTTTCATATTTTTTAAGTGCATCTTCGTTTAGTTTCTCTGGAATATTATTATTAATGTCACTTCGTATATGCAAATCGTACCGTTGACTAATGCCACGACATGCAGGGGAATGGAAACTTCCGGTGAAGTTGTTTGAACGTATGGAACTATTTATATCATTTGCAAGAAATTTCTTAACAGAGTTTTTTCGTTTTCACTTTGTCATGTTCAGCCGGGTTAGGAATGCTATCTTTAACGTCGTGGGAGGTCTCGAACCGTTGCCAGTTTTAAAGGCTCCTGAAAGCGGCTCGGATGACAGGACTTTGGGCCCAAAGTTTCCATATAGCAGACCGCACTTTCTGCAATTCCACACAGAAGAAGAGATTTTAGTTTCGGCAGACCATCATATTCGTCCCATTATAGTACCGAGAGACATTTCAAAACTACCATGGAACAGTGGTTATGCTGAGTAAGTATTTATTTCTTGAACTTTATGGAAGAGACTGAGGTGGCTGAACTTTTGACAGCTTGGCTCCACATAAGCATTTTCAGATATGCCTGTACTTGTTTGATCGTGCGATTTGGTAATCCCATTATTCGTAAAAGATGTCAAAACTAAACAATAAACACATAATATGAATAGAAAATGATATTTCCAATGTTTACTCTTTGCATGCTTTTCACATTGACTAAGCAGCAGAGTTGCAGAGATTTTAAAATGTGGGTAATCTTCATGCCCACGTGTGTGTTAACATATCACATACTGATGCTTTTGCATTTCAAGGGATGTTTTTCGTGATTCTGGCTGTTAAACATATAGAAATTACTTCTCCAACAATAATTGAAGTGCAGAGAATTTTGGCATAATCTCAGAATATTTTGTGTAAAGCAGAAAGGATTATTCGGAGTGATCAGTGGAGCGATTAATTTTAAAGTGTTTGTTAGTATGTAAAGAATCTGTTGCTTGAGGTAACATAATGCTGTTATATCTTTACAATATAGCTACTGTTCTCTGTGTTAAGGTAGAGTCCTAGTAATGATAAAGGAAGCTTGAAATGTGGCAGGTCATGTAAATTACAGTGATTTATAAAAAGTTAAAGCTATCCCTGTAACAGGTCATGAAGGCCCATACATACATACATTTCATTTCATTTCACAAGTCCAAACAAATGGACATGCAGGTCGTCATACAAAGTTTAAACAAACACACCAATAACAAAATAATTAAAACTAATTGTTTATGTTATGCTCCACATACTCAGAAACTGTATAAAAAAGAATTATTCATAAGATATAAAAACAGCCTATTTTTAAAACTAATTCTATCCTCTTTAAAGCTTTGAATGGTTATGGGCAATCTGTTGAATAGTTTAATAGCAGTAAACACAGTACCTTTCTGAAAAGCAGAAAGATTCGAGTTTGGCAAATATAATTGCTTTCGATTTCTTGTATTCAAACCATGAACATCTAAACCTGAACAAGATTTAGTTTGGTTATCAATCACAAACATCATCAACGAGAGAATGTATTCACATGACAATGGCAGTATATTCAGTTTCCTAAAAAGATCCCTACAAGAGTCTCTAGGTCCCACTCCAGATATAATCCTTATTACTTTTTTTTTTAGTTTAAAAACTCTAACATTATTCGTTGAGTTGCCCCAAAGGGTTGTGAGATGTCAAGGCTCCCACATTTTCTAGACAATTGGCTCACAGATGGTGGTAAGGTCATCAGCCTAATGCACTGACCTCCCTTTACCCCCAGGAAGATTCCTGGTACTCATTTCTGTTAGAGGCTGAGCCAACCCCATGGCCATAGTGTGGCTGGAAGGATTAGGTAAATTGAAAAAAATCCACCTCATTGGGACTCGAACCCGCGGCCTTCCAGCTTGTAGCATAGTGCTTCAACTAACTATGCTACTGCGTGCCCCAGTGGTTTATAATAGGTTTCATAATTTTTAAAGCAATACTAATTCAGAGATTGATACAGGGAGGATCTTTCTCACTTGACAAGTTCACAGCTCTGCAATTCACAGCAACTGGTGCACTGCCAGCTGCAAGACGTATGCACATTTTGCTGATGACTCAGCAAGCCTGATGGCCAGTAACATTCAGAATGAAGTAGTTACAATTCACAGACCACACGAGGTGTTGAAAATGCCATCCTCTCTACAAGTATATATTTTTTGCAATTAATTATGTCATTTAAAAAAAACATGTACAACATTCCTCTTTGCTCTTACAGTACACCAGACACCAACTTTCACTGGATGGCTTCAGCAATTGTGTTGCCATTCTAGCACTAGACTCTCGACACTCCAATCTCATTGAGCTAGACATTTCAGTGATCTAGGTGTATGTTGAAGTCTGGCACCTATGTCATGTATCTTCTCAATAAGCACACATAATTTATGTTTTTGTTTCTTGACTATTAAAAGTCCCATTTTTCTAAGTTTATTCGCCAAATTGTGAATTGTTTGTCTGCTGGGAATTATTTCATCATGAAATTTACATAAACATTTTTGCTGACACTTTCTAGAAGATCCATATTTCACATAGCTGTCAAAGTGAAATACACATTGCTCTGAAGGATACTGCACCATGACGTACCATGCTGCTAACTGAAACTGAGAACAAATGGCTAATGGAGCTGATAACTGCTGCCTACTGCTGACAAATCATAAATAAATTCCACACGAACTGCACTGCTAGCTGTGAAACATAATGCTGTGAAGCAGTCTACATGTTAATTACTTCCCTTCATTTTGAACGTTATCTGCTGATTCATCAGCAAAATTTGTATGTGCCATGGCAGGTGGCCCACTGGCCTCTGTGAACTCATCAAGTAAGTAAAAATGCTCCCTGAACTTTGGTCATTGTACAGGGAGATTATCTGAGAGCCTGCCACAAGTCTTTCTGGTGGTCCAGCAGAAGAGACATGCTACTCATGTCAACTAGCACCACATATATTCAGACTTGTGGTGTAGTCAACAGGCCAATATACATTACAGTTCTTCTGCAGTATTACCCCAGTAAATCTATGAACAGCTACCATGAAGTGAGTGTATGTGTTATGTGCTAGTTGACCCTAACCCTAAGACCCTGTTATAGTAGGATTCATATCTCTTGACATGTGATGAGAACCAATAGGGAGTTTCTGAAGCATTGCCAATTTGTTGCTCTGTACACATATCTATAGCAGCAGCAGAGTTAGGAAACTGATATCAGAATGGACTGTGTGGGAACAGTTCACCAGTTTCATAAAAGTAGATGAATAAAATATGAACTTAACCTTTATACACAATTTTCTCCCTAAGAGCAAGTGTTACTTTTTGGCAGCAGGGAATTTGCTTTTGTCATAATATTCAAAACATTTCTGCTTATAACTTCTTTTTAGAAGCCATCTAGGATTGTCACTTATTTTGAAATGTTTATGTGGTTTCTGACCACTTCTGTGGTCTAGTGGTCAGAGTTCCTTGCTACAGATCCAGAGGTTTTGTGTTCGATTCCTGGTGCTACCAGATTTTCTGAGAAGTAATGGGTTTGGAATGGGGTCCACTCAGCCTTGTGAGGATAATTTAGGAGCTACTGGAATGGAAAAGGAGCGGCTCCAGTCTAGAAAACTGAAATTAACAGCTGTGGGGATTGTTTTGCTGAACATGCAACACTCTTTATCTGCTAAAGTTGGTACTAACTTCCTCGGTTGGTCACAGTAGTTCACTTACAGACTAAAGCCGCAGAGTTTTTTTATATGTGGTTTCTGGGTGACAGAAACACCTTCTTGATACCCTCTTCTTTTCCGTACTTTGCCTCCCTGCTTATGCACAAAACAGTCAACTTGCTTACACAGCATGTCATTTTCTGACATGTGGAGAAATTAAGTTTTCTTCATTATTCTTAAAATATGCATATTTTAAAGAAATTTTACACATTAAAACTATTTTTTGAACATTATCATAACCACAGGAATGATCACTACCACTTGTACTCAGCATGCTAAGTGGCATGTTGTATTCTGACACTATGAATGAAATAATAATTTACATTTATATTATTACACATTAAAGTCTACTAAATTGTTGGAAGTTTTAACTGCAAATACAATACTTGTTCTCAGCTGAAAAAGGGAACAACAGGGTTTGAACTTGCCACTCATATCATAGGCAAAAGACAGAGTAACTTGTATCCTTTGCTGGTCTGGGTCTCCTTGTTTATATTATCCAGACTGAGGTGGCCAGCTGGTGTGATGTGAATTGAATTGAATTGAATTGAATTTATTTACATTCTATAAATCCTAAGCAGGTTAGTACCTTTGGATACAGAACAAGTCAAAAGGTTACATACATAAGTACAGGCAATTTTAGCTTAAAAATTAATATAACTTAATTTTACATCATTCTCTATTTACATTGAAGTATTCATCTAAAGAGTAGAAGGAATGAGCATGTAGATAATTCTTTAACTCTGATTTAAACTTTTTAATATCATTGCCCAAGTTTTTAATACTTTGTGGCAGATTGTTGAACACTTTTATGCCAGTAATATGCATTCCCATGAAGTCTCAACAAGATAAATATGACAAAAAGAAAAATGTAACACCTGTGTAATTTGAGATAAGAATGCTGGCACATTTTAAAACAACATAGATTGCTTAGAAAGCTAGAAAATAGCGACAGCATTCTCATGCTTTTTCAAATATAAAATCAGTCTTAGCCAGTATCCTGAATATATTGTCAAAGAAGTGGCATCAGAATAATGACTGCCTCAAATAAATACAAGCAGTGATTACAAGAGAAATTTAAAAATCCCTGAAATGCTAACTCTTGGGTTAGAAATGAGGGGTTTGCTCCTTCACATTCAGAAGAATGTGGCCCTTAACCTAAGTATTTGTTTCATATGAGTTCAAGAACAGTGTGTCTGACCACACGTGATATTTGATTTTGAGACTTGCAGCAGTAAACTTGAAATGGACAACATAGCACATCTCTAACTGGATATTACAATATCAGGGGCTGTCCCTCAGATGTTAAGAGATATGAATCCTACTTTACTGTATCAAACATTCAGTCAGCTGCATTACTTCATGTGTGCAAAAAAATGGCACATGAGCGTTACACATTGGAATGATTGTTCATAAACAATACCCATGTCAAAAGTAAGGGGAAGACCATGACACAAATTTTAGAATGTCCCATCTCCAAATAAAAAAAAAAGACTATTCATACAATTGTAAAATAAATTTGGATGCATAGGATCATTATTTTAACAAAAAATAAACTAAATAAAATCAAATAGTGCTTGCTGAAGGAAACCTGAATGAAATCGTTGCATTTCCTTTAAAAATCCTTTAAATACCTTCCACAGGAGGCTGAAGTTTGACATTAAAATTCTAATCTATTAATCTTTTTCCAGAAAGGAACTTAAGTACATGAATTTGAACACTTTGCAGAGGCACAAGGAATGTATGTAA